GTAAGGATAACGGACAGCGAAAATTAACACCATTTCGAATATTATGTTCTCCTGATTTTGCTTATTTCCCTTGACATATCAAGTAAGGGACCAGGAGGGTAGAAGTGTAGAAACGTTCCTTTTACGTTTATAAAAAGATGTCTTGTGGTCTCTTGGTATCCGAAGAAAATTTACTAATAGATTGGCGGTGTAGTAGGAGCAGAAACACCTCCTCGTGCATTGGAAAAGTTACTTCCGGGCTTAAAAACGACCTCCTGGCACATTATTGTCTCCTGTTACAGAATTGTGACCAGGAGAACGTTACTTTGGCTAAAATTCTTACAAACCTTGGATCAGGAGAACGTAATATTCGAAGACGTATCGTTAAATAACTACAAAATTCTTCTGACTACCAGGAGAACATATAATATATTGTTTTGATAGCGACGATTTTGGAAATACCAGGAGTCATTATGCATTTCTGAAGGTACAATTGCGAAACGGCCAAATGTAAACGTCTACTTTCTTGTTTTTTGACATTTTGCAATCGGAGTCTAAAATTATAGTTAATTTAGGCGCTAATTATCTAGCGATTTTCTAATCTCCGCTAAAGTAAACAATTTGCACTTCCACAACCATAAATTAGCAAGTTTTGTGACCAACAGCTTCCACGTTTACGTAATTACCGCCATAAAACTAAAAGGTACCTTAAAATACCCCTCCTACTTTTTTGGTAGTATAATTTGAATTACAACAATGTAATTTGATGTTATTAAGTGAAGAGATTACTTTAATCAGGCGGAATTAGCGTCCGCATTACGTAATTAACGACCTCGGCGCTATTCCAATTAATGACGAACTTGGCCTTGCCTCTAAGCAATCCACCTTGATTGCCGTCGTATAATTTATGCGTCTGCCGAAGAATTTGAAAATGGACCAATCTAACGGGAAAAGGAGTGCTCCGACCTCACAGCGCCCTAATTTTCATGAATTAATCCAATTTCGGCGCGACGTTCAGGGGGTTTACTTAGGGCTCGTTAATTAATTAAGGCAGACGGACGTTTGGTAAGGTAAGTGCGTTGGCTAATCAATCATATTTCCCCTATGATTACGTAAGTTTAATGCAATTATCGACGATCAAGGCGAACGGGCGAAGTTGTTTTTAACCGAGAGGATTCCATTCGAATGCCTCAATGAAAGCGAGCGTTACGCGTTTAAAAACAAACCTGCTGTAAATGGGTTTGTGGGTTGTCCCGATACCTATTAGGAGCACAGAAATATTTTAAATTCACGTGTTAGTGTCAGTCGGAGGTCCTTCCTAATAGTTACTTCCTCATACCGCTCACCTCCTAAAGTTGCCGTATCAGGAGAAGATAATTCGGCAGTTTTGGTCCTGTGCGCCTGATCGAATTCGCTTTCAAGATTTAAAAAAATCTATTTTATCCAAAGAGTCGAGCTTTCTAGCGTTTAAACCTTCAATCCGTCAAGCTACTAAGCCTTTGAATCCTCAAGCCTTAAAGTGCTCAAGCCTTTAAAACCCCCACGCCAAGTCCTCAAACTGATCAAGGCTTCAAACCAAACCCTCTAGCAGTCAAGCACTCAGGCCTTCAAGCACTTAAATCTTAAAGCTGTCAAGGCTTCAAGAGCTTAAGCCGTGAAGACTTTAAAGCTTCAAACCCTCAAGGCGTCAAGCGGTCAAGCCTTCCATCCCTCAAGCTTTTAAGCCTTCAAACCCTCAACTCAAGCCAAGCCGTCCGGGTCTTCAAGCCACCAGGCCCCCAATCCGCCAAACCCTGACGCCGTCAAGGCTTCAAGCCTAGGGGAAAACAAGTTTGAATGTTTGGTGTACACCCCTTTGAATTTTTTTGAATTAACGTGAATTAATTTGAATTTGAATGCACCAAAAATGGTACTTGTTTCCCCCTAGCTTCAAGCATTTAAACCTTCAAGCCATTAAATCGTGAAGCCTTCAAGGCCTTAAACCGTCAAGGCTTCAAGTCAAACCTTAAAGCAGTCAAGCCTTCAAACTCTCAACTCAAGCCAAACCGTCATGCCATCAAGCTCTCGAACCGTCAAGCACTCAGTCCTCAAGCCGTCAGGCTTTCAAGCACTTAAATCTTAAAGCTGTCGAGGCTTCAAGCCCTTAAGCCGTGAAGCCTTCAAACCCTCAAGGCGTCAAGGCTTCCATCCTTCAAGCGTTTAAGCTTTCAAACCCGGGAGCAACTCAAGCCAAGCCGTCAGGCCCGCAATCCACCAAACAAACCTTCAAGCCATCAAGGCTTGAAGCATTTAAGCCTTCACGTCATTAAATCGTGAAGCCTTCAAGACCTCAAACTTTCAAGCGTGTAAGTCTTCCAGGCCTTAAACCGTCAAGGCTTCTAGTCAAGCAGTCGAGCTTTCAAACTCTCAACTCAAGCCAAGCCGTCATGCCATCAAGCTCTCGAACCTTCAAGCACTCAGCCCTTAAGCCGTCAGGCTTCCAAGCACTTAAATCTTAAAACTGTCAAGGCTTCAAGACGTTAAACCGTGAAGCCTTCAAGGCGTCAGGCAGTCAAGCCTTCCATCCTTCAAGCTTTTAAGCCTTCAAACCCTCAACTCAAGCCAAGCCGTCAAGACATCGAGTCTTCAAGCCATCAGGCCCTCAATCCACCAAACCCTCAAGCGGTCAAGGCTTTAAGCCTTCAAGCCATTAAGTCGTGAAGCCTTCAACACCTCAAACTTTCGAGCGTGTAAGCCTTCCAGGCCTTAAACGCTCAAGGCTTCAAGTCAAATCCTCAAGCAGTCAAGCCTTCCATCCTTTAAGCTTTTAAGCCTTCAAACCCTCAACTCAAGCCAAGCCGTCAAGACATCGAGTCTTCAAGCCATCAGGCCCTCAATCCACCAAACTCTCAAGCGGTCAAGGCTTTAAGCCTTCAAGCCATTAAGTCGTGAAGTCTTCAAGACCTCAAACTTTCGAGCGTGTAAGCCTTCCAGGCCTTAAACCGTCAAGGCTTCAAGTCAAATCCTCAAGCAGTCAAGCCTTCCATCCTTCAAGCTTTTAAACCCTTAACTCAAACCAAGCCGTCAAGACATCGAGTCTTCAAGCCATCAGGCCCTCAATCCACCAAACCCTCAAGCGGTCAAGGCTTTAAGCCTTCAAGCCATTAAGTCGTGAAGCCTTCAAGACCTCAAAATTTCAAGCGTGTAAGCCTTCCAGACATTAAACCGCCAAGGCTTCAAGTCAAATCCTCAATCAGTCAAGCCTTCAAACTCTCAACTCAAGCCAAGCCGTCAGACTTCCAAGCACTTAAATCTTAAAGCTGTCAAGGCTTCAAGACCTTAAGCCGTGAAGCCTTCAAGGCTTCAAACCTTCAAGCAGTCAAGCCTTCATCCTTCAAGCTTTTAAGCCTTCAAACCCTCAACTCAAGCCAAGCCGTCAAGACATCGAGTCTTTAAGCCATCAGGCCCTCAATCCACCAAACCCTCAAGCGGTCAAGGCTTTAAGCCTTCAAGCCATTAAGTCGTGAAGCCTTCAAGACCTCAAAATTTCAAGCGTGTAAGCCTTCCAGACATTAAACCGCCAAGGCTTCAAGTCAAACCCTCAAGCCTTCAAACCCTTTAAGCATTCAATCCTTTAAACTCTCGACTCAAGCCAAGCCGTCATGCCATCAAGCTCTCGAACCGTCAAGCACTAAGCCCTCAAGCCGTCAAGCCTTCCATCCCTCAAGCTTTTTAGCCTTCAAACTTTCAACTCAAGCCAAGCCGTCAATGCCTCGAGTCTTCAAGCCGTCAGGCCCTCAATCCACCAAACCCTCAAGCCGTCAAGGCTTGAAACATTTAAGCCATTAAGTCGTGAAGCCTTCAAGACCTCAAACTTTCAAGCGCTTAAGTCAAGCCTTCAAATTCTCAACTCAAGCCAAGCCGTCATGCCATCAAGCCCTCAAGCCGTCAGACCTTCAAGCACTTAAATCTTCAATCCGCCAAGCCTTCAAACCCTTACGCCGTCAAAACTTCAAGCCCTCAAACCAAACTCTCAAGTCCTCAAGCAGTCAAGTCGGCATTCCTTCCATCCCTCAAACCTTCAAACGCTTAGCTCAATCCCAGTCTTCAAGCGTTTAAGCCATCAAGCCGCCAAGCCCTCACGCCAAGTTATCAAACCCTCAAGCCCTCAAACGTTCAACTCAAGCCAAGCCCTCGAGCCTTCAAGTCGCCAGGCCCTCAATCCGCCAAGCTTTCAATGCTGCTAGACTTTAAACTTTAAACCCCCACGCTAAGTACCTACTCAAACTCATCAAGTCATTAAACCTTCAAACCCTTACGCCATCAATGCTTCAAGCCAAGCTCTCAAGACGTCATGTCCTCAAGCAATCAAGCCGACAATCCTTCCATCCCACAAACTCAACTCAATATACAAGCCGACGAACCACCAAGCTTTCGAGTCTTCAAGCCCTCGAACAGTCAAACCTTCAATCTTTCCAGCCGCCAGGCCCTCAAGGCTTCAAACTTTCAAACATGTAAGCCCTTCAAACAGTCAAGCCTTCAAACTCTCAACTCAAGCCAATCCGTCATGCATTCAAGCTCTTAAACCTTCAAGCCGTCAAGCAATCAGCCGTCAACTCGTCAGGCCTTCAAGCACTTAAATTTTCGAGCCTTCAAACGTTCAACTCAAGCCAAGCCGTCAAGACCTCGAGTGTGCAAGCCGTCAGGCCCTCAAGCCTTCAATCCGCCAAGGCTTCAAACTTTCAAGCGTGTAAGCATTCAAGGCCTTCAAGCAGTCAAGCCTTGAAACTCTCAACTCAAGCCAAACCGTCATGCCATCAAGCTTTCGAAACTTCAAGCCGGCAAGCACTCAAGCTTAAAGCTGTAAAGGCTTTAAACCGTGAAGCCCTCAAGGCTTCAAACCCTCAAGCAGTCAAGCCTTAAATACCTCAAGCTTTTAAGCCTTCAAACTCTCAACTCCAGCCGAACCTTAAAGCCTTCAAGTGCGGATCAAGGACCCTAAGGAGAGTTTGATGATAACAAGCTTTTCTTTTTTGGTACGAATTTATTATTCAACAGGTCTAAAACTACCAACATCGACTTCAAAAATGAAAAAGTCACCGCCTCGAAGCGTGAGAGTCATGACGTAGAGGAGCCGCTTTAACGTCTTACACCTCAACACGTAGGAGGCGCCCCGGTGCTCGACAAACATCGGCGGCCCGTTAATCTCGCAATCGTACATGAAGTACTCGTGCTCCTGCATTTTGCCGAACGCGACGAAGCGCTTCTCCGCGACTCCCTTGTCGCAGCAGACGATCCCCTTGCGAATCTTGTGCCCGGCGAAGAAGAACCTCAGCGCCTTGAAGAGGTTAAACTGGTTCGCGCGCATTATGAACATCGTGCCGTGCACGACCGGCACGATGACGAGCTCGAAACGGTACGGCGAGATCAGGCAGCTCGGCTGCAGGTCGTCGGTGTCGAACTCGTGGTCCTCCTCGTCGATCGATGCGACGCACTCGACGAAGTAGCCGCTGCCGAAGACGACTGTCGAGTCTATTATCGCCGCCGTCCATTCGGCGAGCGGGTATATTTCGGTCATGGCGATCGCGACGACGAGGCACGCGAGCGTCTGCTTGCCCCGGACCTCGTCGCCGAAGCGCTCGGTGCTCTGGTGGATCGTGCCGGCGATCGAGTACAGGTCGTTCGCGTACTCCACGTCCCAGTTGTTCCACATCTCGTCGGCCCTTCCGCGCGGTACGTTCCGGGCCGTGTACGAGTTGACGCGCGACCAGGGGATCGGCTCGCGCAGCAGCCAGATGTCCCTCTCGTTGAAGCTCGCCGCTGAAAATCAAGGCGGTGAAGGTTTCGAGAATGCTCGCGAGCGCTTACCGATTTTCTCCGGTTTCGTCTTCTGGTCGAGCTCGTAGTCCATCAGCTTCTGGCCGATTATCAAGCTTTTGGGCGCCTTCGACACGGAGGTGACCTCAAACGTGTAGAAGATGAAGTGGTTGCCGTCCGGTACGATCTGGTTCTTGATGCGCTCCTTCACCTCGTCCAGCGTGTTGAAGATGGTCCAGCCGGCGAAGCCGGCCTCTGAGGGGTCGGCGGCTCCGTTTTGGAGGCAGGGGTAGGGGTCGAAGACGTGGAAGTAGGACGTGTGCTTGTAGATCACGTAGCAGCAGTTGGGGAACTGCATGAGGATGTAGTCGCGCTTTCTCATGACGTGGTCCAGGCCTGGGGAGAGCGGGGTTAGTTACAAGGAGGTGGGGGGTTTACGCTTCGGCTTACATGTGGAGAGGTTCTTCTTGTCGTGCCAGTCTGGAAACTTAAGCGTAGTGATTATGATGTCGAAGAAGTGCTGGTAAATCAGAATGTTGCGAATGATTCTCTTGTCGCTTATTGAGAAGTTTTCTGCGTGCGAGTACACGTGGTTGCCTTGCTCCACGACGTAGTTAACCCGCTTGGTGTCCCATCTGAGTATGGGATAGTTCAGGAGCATCAAGGACGCGCAGATGCAGACAAAGTGGTCGGGCTTCAGATTGTAAAATTCGTTGGTGGCCCTCCCGTGGAGGGCGGTGGAACCTTGCAGGGTCAGCATTCCTTCGCTGAGTTGGTAGCCGACCTTGTTCTCCCTGAGCGGGTGATCCTCCTCCACCTCGATCTCCTGATCTTCGCCGTCCTCCCCCGCTCCGAATTTCATCAGCTTGGGCGGTATCGGTTTCGCGGTGCAGGAGCTCAGGACGAAACGGCTAAAATCGTACTCCTCCTCCTTGTCGCGCTTGGTCTTGTTGTGCAGAATTCTCCGCGCCAAATCCTGGACGGTCTTGAAACGCGCCAAACACGCCGTTCCACTGTTCTTGGGGCCCTCCCCTAAGCCGACCTCGTTACAGCCGAAACAATCGAAGAGGTAAAACAGTTGATTCTTGTAAAACACGGCGCAGGCGTAAGAGGGCGTCGCAATCAAGCCGCATTCGTGCTTCCGAAACAGTAGGCGCACCAGCGTCTCCTCCAAAACCCGCTGCTTGAAGACGTTGTCGGTTAGATACTCGGCCAAAATGCTGAAGTTGCTCTGCCCGAGCGACACCTTGGGCACGTCGAGGATGGGCACCTGATCGTAGCGCACCTTCGACAAACCGTACAGCTTCGCCCCGCTTCCCAAGGCGTAGTCCACGATCTCTTTGGACCACGTCCCCAGCGCGTACTTCTGCGCAACCGCCGCGGACATCATGCAGACGAACGGCGCCATGTACTCCACGTCCTCGCCCAATCCGGCAATATTGCAGGTGCCCCTAATGATCTGGCTCCCATCGGGCAGATCGACGAAGTTGCTCTCCTTGGCCAACTCCATGGATTGCGTCAGGATGGGCTGCCCGACCGCCTCCTCCATGATGAGAATCTGCCGCCTTCGCGCCACCTCCCTCTCCTTTAGCATCCTCTGCTTCCACCGTATGTTGGTTGGCGATAGCAAGTCGCGCGGCACCGGCAGAAAACCGACCGTAATGTCCGTATTGACCTGCGCCGACATTCTGTCGGCGCCGAGCGACCCGCGATTGACCTGCGCGTACTGGTCCATCGCCATGTATTCCTCCGCCGCCGACTCGCCGCGGTCCTCGACCTCGTCGCCCTCCCCCTCGCCGTAGCCCTCCATCTCGAGCTCCTCCTGCGTGAGTATCCACGAGGTGAGGTCGAGCTCGCCCTCGTCCTTCTCGGGCTCGGCACGTTCGGGCTCGATCTGCGTGTCGGACAGACTGGGCGAGTCCAGATCGATGGGCTTCTTCAGCACGGCGTGCTCGACGCGCACCTTCGACGGAAACTTGTGCACCATCGGCGGAAGCTGCTCGGGCGTCAGACTGTCGACGGCCGAGCCGACCTCGATAATCGACGGGTCGAGGTGCGCCCACGGTGCCAGCGGCCGGACGGCCCCCTCGGAGAAGTCGGCGGTCACCTGTTTGCGCGCCGCCTTCTTTTTACTCTTCTTCACCTTGCACTCCTTAAAACTATCGGGCGAGTAGTCGTCCATGGCTATACCCTTCGGGAATAGGTGCGCTTGCGCCGGGTCCCGGTGCACCTTTAGTACTTTCAGGGCGTGTATGTGGAAGATGTCGTCGGCGTTGTCGAAATTCGTGCCGCAGGTGGTCGCCAGCGACTCGATGTTTGCGTGCATCGAGACGCACGCGAATCCGTTGCGGCACTTCAGCCCCTCCCCGTTGCGCGAGTAGGGGTCGAAGCAGTAGAACATGTTTCGCTGCGCCCAGATCGCTAGGGTGTACCTGGAGATGAAGACGATCGCCATTGAGTTCGACGCGAAGAACTTCTCCAAGCACCTCTGCAGCATGGACGCGCCTTTCCTTGCCATCACGTCCGCGTACACGTTGGAGTAAATCAGCAGGTCGACCATGTAGGGACCGACCGTGAACATCGCCGGCACGTGCTCGAGCTCCATCTCGACCACGTCCTCGCTCTCCACCAGCTCGAGATAGAGCTGATTGCCGATGATCATTATTTTGTCGACGGTCTTGGTGTGCCACGAGCTCGGCGGGGAGATGCGCGAGTACGCCAAGCAGACCACCGCCATGGCCACCGCCTGCTTGTTGCGGGCGAAGTCGAAGCACAAGTCGGCCAGGTCGAAAGAACCGCGCACCACCGCCTTGTGCTCGTTGATGATGTTGAAATCGCTCCGGTCGTGAATCATCTCGTACCTGACGTCCTCCTCGGGCTCATCCTTGTCCATGACCTTGCTGACGGTGACCTTCGATATGGTAAACGGATGGTTAGACAAGTCGGTGTAGTTGAGAAGAATCGTGCAGAGGTCGGGGATGTCGTAGACGTGTGCGAGTACCGCTGGTCCCGTGGGGTCGGCGCGAAGATCCTTCCTGCGACCTTTGGCGTCGAAGATGTAGTAGTGCTTGTCCCTCCAGACGACGACGTCCAGCCCGCAGCTTTTGATAATGCCGGCCGACTGCCGATTGAAGAAGATCTGCAGACCCTTGTACATGTTGAAGATCCGTCGGTTGGTCGAGCGCACCTGGCCCACCACCTCCGGCTGGAAGACCTGGAAGCGGATCTTCTTCGTCTCGATGAAGCAATACTTGTGCAGCTCGAAGAATTGCAGCTCCTTCGCTTGGTTGTGCATGTGAAGCGTCGCAACACTGTCGGCGTACAGCCTGGTGCCGATCTCCAGAATGTCGTCGATCACCAGCTCGGTCCACTTGTTCGGGTGCAGCAGCGTTGCGTAGCAGTAGGCGGCAACGGGCATGCACATACCCTGCAGACCCCTCGCGCTCGCCGGAAAGTGCGAGTCGTACTGATTAATGGTGCCAAGCGTAATCCCGTAGAAGAAGTCCTTCAAAGTCGGCTGCTCGGCTTCCGTAAACGAGTGGCTCTCGAGCGTGCCCCTGGTGATCTTCCTCGGGGGCGGTTTATAACGCTGCGCCTCCGAGTCGCGCCGAAACTTCTGCACGATCTTGTTCATATGCGGCTCCTCCTCCAGATCGGCTTCGTCGAAGACCGGAAACTCATCCAACTCCTTCGAGTTGACCGAGGTGGCGACAGTGCACTGCGACACCTTTCGCCTGAACATCTTCGTCAAAGTCACATCGCACACATCCTCATCCTCGCCTAGAAACTCCTCGAATGAGTCTCTGCAATGGACTAAAATCAAACAATTTAGCCTGGATCACTCCGACAACCCTTCACCGTCGAGCTCCCTCTCCTCCTCCTCGACCAACGGGGGCGGCTCGTCTTTCACCACCTTCGTCTCGATTTCGTCGTCCTCCTCCGCCCGCCTAGAACGAACAGCTCAATCACTGCCGCGCAAAACCAAAACCACTCACCTAGGTCTAGGCCTGCGCTCGTAGACGAGATCGAAACTATCCTTGTCCTTGTCGGTCACGCGCCGCTTGGTATTAATAAAGATGCCGCTCTTCGGCTTGCGCGTCAGCAGCTCGGCGGAGTCGGGCGGATCCGGCATGCCCTCCGTCACGGATTCCTCGGGCCGTTTCGGTCTCACCTTCGCCGCGCTCGTCTCGGGCGACGGACTGAAGAGGCCCTTTCCGATCGTTTCGGCGTCGACGGGCCTCGGCACGTTCAGACTCTCCCACTTGCAGAAGTTGCGCTCCTTCTCCTCGCGCTCCCTCCTCGCCGCCTTCTCGCCGAGCTGTTTCGGCGAGACCGGCTGGAGGTAGGGAGCGGGAGGAGAGCGCGGGTCGGGTGGCGCGGACAGCTGAACTCGCTTGCTGTGGACGTTAATTTGAAGAAACAAGGAGGGAAGGAGGGCCACTCACTGCATGTCGGGCGAAATGACCTTGGGAGGTGGCGGCTTGCCACCGTGGACGTCCTTGTGCGTGCGTTTGTCGATGACCCATTCGAGGTCGTCGTCGAAGTGGCTCGCCTTAACCGGATCTTTCCCCATGGTAGGGTCGACCCTCTTGCTCAATTTGGGGGGCGATAATTTTACACTGATCGGCGAGCCCGCGCCCTTCATCTTGTCCTCCTTTGCGGGCGGTGAAGCCATTCTTTACGAGAAATTTGGAAAAGTCGTCAAAGTCAAAAATTGTAAAACAATAAAGCAATGACAGGAGCCACGTAGTTAGTTGTTCATTCTCATCCCAAAATCACGTGGTAATTGCAAGTAGAACAGCGTGTGGAAAAAATTATCTGAAATAATGACGGTTTCAGGAGCATCTGTAACCTAAATGGAAAGCGTGGTAACATTTAAAATTTGATCTGAAATGTGTATTAGGAGACCATAATTCTCAAGGAAGTGTTTTTGCACTTCTTTGGTTATTTGAGTTCTTGATACAGCATATTAATCTGCGAGAGGAGGTCGTTTTCCATGTACCAGAAGAGCATGATGGATGAGAAGGTTTTTCCCATCACTCACAGAAACATTTCAACGCCAACTTCGTCTTGAATTTTTACAAATTTTGCATTAGGAAATAAACGAAGTGCCTATAAGAATATTCTTGTAAAATTTTGTCTGGCTACCAGGAGAACATAATGGTAGAGGAGGTCTTTTCCTATCACCCACAAAATTATTTCAAAGCCTAATTTCGTTTTAAATCTTTGCCAGTTTGGTGTCAGGAGGTTATAATGTGCGAGGAGGTGTTTCAGCTCCTAATACACAAAGTGCCAATTAGAAAATTCATGTAAAATTTTGTCTGGCTACCAGGAGAACGTAATGGTTGAGGAGGTCTTTTCCTATCGCCCACAAAAATATTTCAAAGTCAAATTTCGTTTTAAATTTTTTCCAATTTGGTATCAGGAGCTTATAATGTGCGAGGAGGTGTTTCAGCTCCTAATACACAAAGTGCCAATTAGAAAATTCATGTAAAATTTTGTCTGGCTCCCAGGAGAACATAATGGTTGAGAAGGTCCTATCACCCACAAAATTATTTCAAAGCCAAATTTCGTTTTAACTATTTTCCAATTTGGTATCAGGAGGTTATAATGTGCGAGGGGGTGTTTCAGCTCCTAATACACAAAGTGCCAATTAGAGAATTTTTGTAAAATTTTGTCTGGCTACCAGGAGAACATAATGGTTGAGGAGGTCTTTTCTTATCACCCACAAAACTATTTCGAAGCCAAATTTCGTTTTAAATGTTTTCCAATTTGGTATCAGGAGGTTATAATGTGCGAGGAGGTGTTTCAGCTCCTAATACACAAAGTGCCAATTAGAAAATTTTGTAAAATTTTGTCTGGCTACCAGGAGAACATAATGGTTGAGGAGGTCTTTTCCTATACACCCACAAAAATATATCAAAGGCAAATTTAGTTTTAAATCTTTTCCAATTTGGTATCAGGAGCTTATAATGTGCGAGGAGGTGTTTCAGCTCCTAATACACTAAATGCCAATTAGAAAATTCATGTAAAATTTTGTCTAGCTACCAGGAGAACATAATGGTTGAGGAGGTCTTTTCCTATCACCCACAAAACTATTTCGAAGCCAAATTTCGTTTTAAATGTTTTCCAATTTGGTATCAGGAGGTTATAATGTGCGAGGGGGTGTTTCAGCTCCTAATACACAAAGTGCCAATTAGAGAATTTTTGTAAAATTTTGTCTGGCTACCAGGAGAACATAATGGTTGAGGAGGTCTTTTCCTATACACCCACAAAAATATATCAAAGGCAAATTTAGTTTTAAATCTTTTCCAATTTGGAAGCTTATAATGTGCGAGGAGGTGTTTCAGCTCCTAATACACTAAATGCCAATTAGAAAATTCATGTAAAATTTTGTCTAGCTACCAGGAGAACATAATGGTTGAGGAGGCCTTTTCCTATCACCCACAAAACTATTTCGAAGCCAAATTTCGTTTTAAATGTTTTCCAATTTGGTGTCAGGAGGTTATAATGTGCGAGGAGGTGTTTCAGCTAATATACGAAGTGCTAATCAGAAAATGTATGTAAAATTTTGTCTGGCTACCAGGAGAACATAATGGTTCAGGAGGTCTTTACCTATACACCCACAAAAATATTTCAAAGCCAAATTTCGTTCTAAATCTTTTCCAATTTGGTATCAGGAGATTATCATGAGCGAGGAGGTGTTTCAGCTCCTAATACACAAAGTGCCAATTAGAAAATTCATATAAAATTTGGTCTGGTTACCAGGAGAACATAATGGTTGAGGAGGTCTTTTCCTATACACCCATAAAAGTATTTCAAAGGCAAATTTAGTTTTAAATCTTTTCCAATTTGGTATCAGGAGGTTATAATGTGCGAGGAGGTGTTTCAGCTCCTAATACACGAAGTGCGAATCAGAGAATTTTTCTAAAATTTTGACTAGCTACCAGGAGAACATAATGGTTGAGGAGGTCTTTTCCTATCACCCACAAATATATTTCAAAGTCAAATTTCGTTTTAAATCTTTTCCAATTTGGTATCAGGAGCTTATAATGTGCGAGGAGCTCCTAATACACGAAGTGCTAATCAGAAAATTCATGTATAATTTTGTCTGGCTACCAGGAGAACATAATGGTTGAGGTGGTCTTTTCCTATCACCCACAAAAATATTTCAATGGCAAATTTCGTTTGGTATCAGGAGGTTTCGCACTTCCATACACCTGAGAGGTTCCACCCTGTATATACAACTTACGACGATACATACATTTTTGAGAGTTGGCAACCATGCAATTTTTAGTTGGGGAAAAGCTGCCTGCGTCATCTAGAAAGCACGAACGCGGGTTACGTTTGGCATTTGTCTTGAGTGGCGGTCGTATTCGCGTCGCTCCATAAATGTTTGTTGTTATTTTGTGTTTATTTAATGCAGGTAGTAATCTTTGCATTTTTTATGACTGTGGGGAGGTATACTCTTGGTAAACACTCTCTCTAGCATGTTCTGGTGTCCTGATCCAAATGTCGGCTTTAAAAATTCTTTTATGAGAAGCTCAAGAACGCAGTTAGGTGTATATAATATTCCCTGATAAATACCTTCTCGCGAATTATGGTCCCTTGGTAGAAATCTTTTTTTAGATATGATTGTGCAGAGGTGTAACGTATCGTTGACATACTCTCGCATGTTATGGTCTCCTGATGAGAGATGTGTGTTTTAAAAATGCTCGTGTAAGGAGTTCAGGAACGCAGTTAGGAATAATATTGCCTGATAAATACCTTCTCACGTATTATGATCTCCTGATACAAATAAATTTTTAGATATTGTTGTGGAGAGATATAATTTAGGTTATAATATTCTTTAATAAAACCTTCTCGCGTATTATGATCCCCTGACACAAATCTTTTTTTTTGGAAATGACTGTGGGGAGGTATAACCTTGGTAAACACTCTCTGGCATGTTATGGTCTCCTGATCAAAATCTCGCCTTTAAAAATTCTTGTATGAGAAGCTCAAGAACGCAGTTAGGTATATATAATCTTCCCTGATACATTCCTTCTCGTGGATTATGTTCCCTTGATACAAATCTTTTTCTTTAGTGACTGGGAAGTTATAATCTTGGTAAACACTCTCTCGCTTGTTATGGTCCCCTGATCAAAATGTCGGCTTTAAAAATTTTTGTATGAGAAGCTCAGGAACGCAAGTAAGTATAATATTCTTTGATAAATATCTTCTCGCTTATTATGATCCCCTGATACAAATATCTTTTTTTAGAAATTTCTGTTAGTAGGTGTAACATTGGTTTAAACACTTTCTCGCATGTTATGGTCTCCTGATGAAAATATTTGTTTCGTGTCAGGGGATCAGAAAATGCGATAGAAGTTATAAATTTTAAACAAGTGGAGAAAATTTAAATTTCGGGATCAATAAATGGTAATAAAAACTGCATTTTAGATGGTTTAGTTAGTTAGCTTTCTTGTAACATTCTTGTGGATACCAGGAAAACATGATGGACCTGGACCGTAGCATCGGAAGTCTGGGGTTATGAAATACTCCCCGGCAGTACTCTGATCAGCAGACTATTAAGTCGTCTGCTCCAAAATGGAATTTCAGAGAACGTGGCGCAGGGGGTCAGTTATGAAGAGGTCTTATTCGATTATCCACGGAAATATTTCAACGCCTTACGTTGTCTTGAATGTTTACAAATTTGTATCAGGAGAATATATGTGCGAGGAGGTAGGAGGAAGTATCAGGAGAATATAATCGTTCATCTAAACTTTGCTGTGAATTTGTTTCCGTTAGTATGAATTCTCGCAATTTGTATTAGGAGGCCATAATGCACAAGAAAGTGTTTGCCAATTGACTTTCAGTTTGACCAAGAGAATTTTGCATTAAGCTCGTACAAGCTTTGTATCAGGATACTATAATGGGCAATAAATTAGTAACATTTTGTGTTAGAAGGCATTTCTGTGGTCCTGATACAACAACATCGTTAGATAAGCATAATGTTTGAGGGGGTCTTGCACCTCCCCTCGTTTGATCGGGTAACTCCATTTTCGCCTTTAAAAAATAGGTCAAAGCTGTAAGTCCGCAAAAACAAAAGGGATCTCTTTGACAGGCGTCAGAATTTTTGAATCTTCGTTCAAAATTTTTAGTGGACCATGTAAGTAAACCCTTGAAATTGAAACAACCGCCGTCAATGGCGTCGTTTAAGGGGGAAAAAGAACAAAATCGCCTTCCAGCCGAGGCCCAAAATCGACTACCCTCCCGTCGCCACCAAGACCTGGGTACCGCCCGATCAGCGCAAGAAGAGGAAGAGGCGGCCGAAGTACGAGAAGCCGCCGGGCATCACGCAGAAGTTGGAGGTGTCCAGTTTGGGACAGGTCTGGCACAAGTTTCGCGTTTTGAAAGATCGAATTTTGCTGCTGGGAAGCTTCTCCGAGACGCACAAGAGGTACAAGAAGAGGACGAACGGATTTCAAAGTTTGTTTGTGTCACGGAACGGGGCAGACTCAACGTTATTTTGCTTACAGCGCCATGTAACTGCGTGGTGGCAATTGCGCTGTCAAAGTTCTACCGAATGTCAAAATGGGACTTCGGCACCATCGACCAAATTTTAGACCTGGGGGATCAGTTGTACATCTCGACGATTCTTCACCAAAGCGATCGTGCCAAGACCCACCTGCTGTTATGCGAGGTGTATCCCTCGTTCTTCTTCTACGACACGAAGGTCACGATTACGTTTAAGGGAAATAAGCACGTGGGGCGCCTTTACGAGGACGTCGACGACTCACCGTTTTTAAGCCGGGTCATTGGCGACTTCTTCAACGAGCACGGTTCCGGAGTACTGACCGTGGAAAGGCATCACATGGCGTTGTGGTACATCGGTAGGTTCCCATTCGGAGAGGCGTCCTGGTGACCCCGTGCTTTTTCAGGGAAGGACTACTACCTATTTGACCCAAGCGGTCACGACCGCGAAGGCCACCCTTGGCGCGGTCTCCCTGGGATGGGTTTCGCGGCGGTGATGCGCTTCAAGGATACGGACTCCTTGGTGAATGTTATACACGAAACCTTTGGCACGCGGAGCAATCCGGGATTCGTGCTGACTCCCTGCTCCATCATACGCTTGGTGAAGATCGACGTGGTCCCGCCGGCCGCGAACTTAATCCCGCCCCATTGCCCAATTGGCGAACCGGAGTTCGTGCTCGAGCCTCGCGTTCCCCCCGCCAAGCCGCCGAAATCGGACGAACTGGAGGAGAAGGTCCAGGCGGTCGTGACTCTGGAAGAGGAGGAAGATGTGAACTTGGAGGTGGAGGCGAACGAGTTCGCGCCGGAGGTCGGCGAATCGCCGAAGGAGGGCGTGGTGCCGATCGAGCGACCTCGCGCCGACTCCGTCACGTACTTTGCGCCGGTGATCAGCGAGAGGATGGGGATCCTGCACGCTTCGACGCACCAGGGCGACCTTCGCTACACGAAGAACGGCGGCAAGCAGAGCGCGGCCAACGCGATTTCCTCGCTCGCAATGCTGAGGCTGTGCAAGTCGCGGAGGTGGTTCCGAAGGGTCGTCGACGAAATTCTGAAATGCGGCGAGAGGATCTACGCGGACTCGGTGAAATCGCTTCCGGCGGGCAGGGCGCTTAAGGTCACCAAGGTGGCCAAAACGTTCATGCTGGGCGATCGCGTGTTTACCCCCGACGTTGAGGAGTACACGACGATCGGCAAGCTCAAAAGCACAAAGCAGGGGGTGCTCGACCTTTTGCCCGCTTTGGAGGAGTACTTTCGGAACAATCAGACTTGTGTCGTGACGGGGCCTTTGGTCCTGGCAATTTGGGCGGAGGATGGACGGTTTTACATGTTCGATCCGAACGAGAGGGACAAGAAGGGGTTGGTGATCGTGAAGAGCATTCAGGTGGGATCTCAGCTGCAGATGCTGGAGTACAAACCGGGGGCGGCTTGCGTCACGTGGTACTCCGAGCTGAAGACCCTCGTCGATGTGTACATGAAGAACGTCGAGCCTAACCTGCGCCGTGAGCCGTTCTTCTTGAGCAAGGTCGTGATCAGGGACTACGTCCCGGTGCCCGACCCCTGGAACGGATTCGAAGGTCCACCCCGCCAGCGTTGGCGTTCTAATGAAACGTGTTGCAGGTGTCGCGAGCGGCAAGTGGATTTTGCGCGGCAGCTTCAATCAGAACGACCGCCGGTTCGAGAAGGAGGTGCGCGGCACTCAGTGCACGGCGGCGGCCGCGCTCTCCCTCGCGTTCGCGCTCATCAAACCGGAGAGCAAGTGGACGACGGAGGACGTCGACGAAATTCTCATCCAGACCGAGCCCTACTACAAGGAGTGCGTCGCGAAATTGAAGAGCGGCAACAAGTTTCGCGACGGAAAGCTGCTCGTCGACGAGCTTAACCGGAAATGCGCGTTGGAGGGGACCGAGATCAACTTCGACATCGAGGAGTGCGCCGTGAACGGCCTGATCGACGCCAAAGATTACGACGACACGCTCAATCTTAAAAGTGGCATCGCCACCTTTTTCCGGGACAACAACAGCGCCATCGTCACCGCGCGTTCCGTTTCCGTGGCCATCTGGAAGAAGGACCAAGCGTTTTACTACTACGATTCGCATAGCCGCGACGAGAAGGGGATGATTAACGGTAGGTATTTTATAGTTGTACAAGTTTAGTTGAGATGTCGCCACGTACGCAACTTTCAAATTGCATTTGAATTTATGCGATTAATAGCCACGTCGCACTTAATTTTACTTAAATGGCAGTTCAAAAGGTGCGGAATCTTGCAAGATCTGTAGTGCAATTGTAATTCAATGGCCCGGTTTTTGAATAGTTAGTTTAAATACAAAATAAAGTCACTAGATATAGAAAGTACCGCAATCATCCGCCATTTTTGGACAAATTTGCTGCCAACTTAAAAAAATTGACAAATAAAATCTGAATAGCTGTAATTTTTTATAACCTAACTTCATAGTACTGTCATGTTTTATAAAAATATATACATATATCTCCAAACAGGTGGAACAATCCCTAATATTAAAGTTACTAGAATCTGGTAACTTCCGCCATTTTTGGGCAAAAATCATGCGTTCTCTCTCTAACACACGAGCCCAATGAATTGGGGTACTTTTTATATTTAGTGCCTTTAACACAAAAGGTACATGTGCGCCATCTCCTTGGTAATCGATACACTTTCCTTCGTTTTATAGTTTTGCAAGTTTAGTTGAGATGTCGCCATTCAAATTAAACAACGCAGACAAGATGAACTTCATTTCCATCACGGTCGCCAAATTTATTCTTTGTATTTCCACCAAATATTTCGTGTTTCACAACAACAGCTACCGTTACAACGTGCTATTACAGGTTATGGGACCGCGTGCGTTATGCGCTTCTCAAACATGGACGACCTGGCGCTGAGCATCGAGGCCAACCTGCAACCGGGCCAGAACAACTCGTTCAACATCGGTCGCGTTACCGTCTCCGTTTGGGAAATGGAGGCGGGCGGAGTCTCGAGGCCGCCCCTGAACAACTACGCCGAGCTGAGTCCGCACTCCGCCATCCTGCGGTCGGTTTTCAGCGAACGCTCCGGCATCTTCAAGTTGAACGCCGGCAAACAGACGATTCCGATGTGCCTGGTGGCGATGGCCATGATGAAGATCTACCCGGCGAGCATCTGGAGCCAGGACATCGTCGAGGAGGTTCTCAAGATCGGCGATAGGCTCTTCACGGACACGATGGTCGCGCGCGAACGACGGACCGATCTCACTCCGGAGGAGGACGTCGACGAGGTCTACGCGGAAAACTGCCTGCGCGAGTTTCACATCGGAACCAACAAATTCGTCATGAATTTCGGCGGACCCCTGGTCGGCAACTTCGAGCAGAACTTCTGGCCGCAGATTAAGGCGTTCTACCAGAGGGCGCCCGCGAGCGACAACGACGAGTTTGAGCTGCTGATCACCAGCAACCTCTACAATGTCGCGACGTGGTTCGATGGCAACGTCTACTACCTCTTCGATCCGAAGCCGCGCGACCAATTCGGACAGGTCTTCGGAAAGGAGGAGTGGAGCGCTAAGGTGGACGTGCCGGAGGACGAGGAGGGAGGCGGCGATGATCCGAAATTCGTAAGCGAGATGGCGAAGAAGAAGCTGGGCGGGGGCGACGAGTGAGTATCGACCACGCGACTCTGGCGCTGATCGCTTCCGTTTCAGGCTCCCGGAGGTGGAGATAGTCAAGCACAGTCCGTCGTACTGGAAGCGGAAGGAAACGGATGGGGCGGCATGCGTCGTGTGGTTCACGTCCGCCGACAAACTGATCGAGCACGTTTACGAGAACACCCCGCCTAATCGACGCGAGGCGCTGGATTTCAAAATGTTTCCGATAACGGTCGTCAATCGCCCCGACCTGAAGAACGTGTTCAACTCGAAGACGGCGAGAGAAGACAACTATTCCGGCGATTGGTACGCGTTCAAGGAAATCGATCGCGGTCTCTGGATACTTAGAGGAACCACCGATAACTCCGACGAGATGTTTCCACCGAAAAACCGTGGGAGACAGTCGCTGGCGATGTGCTACGCCGCCTTGGCGTATGCCAAACGCTACGTGATCAATAAATTTAAGAGCGGCACCGTGAACGACATCCTAAAGTACGGGGACCGCCTCTACACCGCCACCCGAAAGAGGCGTTACCAAGAGCTTAGAGCGAACAAGGAGCTGGGGCTGAGCGCCGAGGAAATCGAGACGATTATGAACGGGCAAACCTTCGGGGTGGAGGATGTGGAGCGCGTTTTCTGCATCGGGCTCGACCAGATGACGGTCGAGCTTCACCAGGACGCCGTTACCGGCGACATCTACGCCGAAGGCTCCAAGGACGTGGCCGACGTGCGAAGGGCGCTGGAGGAGTTCTTCAAAGACCATCGCTTTGGAATAATCGCCTGCAAGAATTTGACCTGCGCCATCTGGAAGGGGGTGAAGATCTACTACATGTTCGATTCCAACTCGCGCGGGCCCTGCGGGGCGACCTGCCCAAGCGGCGAGGCGTGCATCACGCGGTGCCTAAACACGAACGCGATCGCCGACATTTTCCTCGGCAATCTCCCGAAGGAGGGCCGGAACGGTTTCGCGATTCACTCGGTGAGAATTCGCGTGACGCCGTGCCCGAGACCGCTCAAGCCTGAAGAGAAGCCGGTGAAGGAGGAGCCGCCGAAGTACACCGGGATAACGGGGGTAATGCCCGGCAAGCACATCTTGCGCGGCACCTTCAGCCAGGAGGACGACAAATTCGGACGCGGCCGAAACGTGCAATCGGCCCCGGTCGCAATCATCGCCCTCTCGATGTCTCTGGTGCACAACCCGAGCACGTGGACGACCCCCATCGTCGACGACATACTCTACCTCGGCGATGAGCTCTACATGTCCACTCTAGAATCCCTCGGCTACGAGTACAACCCGTGGGAGCAAGGCCTAACGGTCCACCTGGTGAACAAAGACTACAAGGTCGGGTTACTTCGCGCCAACTTCGGGCTGCGCACCACCGACCAAAGGGGAATGATCGACATCAAGCACCCGTCAATTATGAACATACGCCAGGGTAATAATTACGTCACAATTACCCGTCGAATTAATTCCATTCTCGTTTCAGGCTTGGAGAACTTCTTCGAGGAAAACACGCACGGGGTCATCGAGACCGAAACTCTCACCGTCGCAATTTGGGAGGAGGACGAGCAGCCCGGCTTCGTCTACATGTACGATCCGAACCCACGCGGACCCGCCGGCCTTTACCTCTCGGGCGGTACGGCGTGCTTGCTCATTTTCGAGACCGTCAAAATGGCGGCGGACCATTTCATCGCGAACGTGACCGACAAGACCAAACGGAGGGGGGAGTTCGTGATAACTCCCGTGGAAATAGTCGTGGGCAACGCGAAAACCAAGCCGAAGAAGAAAAGGGAGCGCGATTGCGGGACGATGGAGTTGGTGAAGGGGGAGCGGGCGGTGCCCGGTCCCTACGACAAAAGGCAGCTGCGGAAAATGGCGGCGGAGGAACGCAGGAGGAAGGAGGCGCGCCGTTTGGCCAAGATCGGTCGTCTGCAGTACCACGGCCTGCCCAACGGGGACGCCCTGCTGCGCGGCACCAAGAGTCAATCCTCCAAGGAGTACAGCGCGAACTCGCGCGGCAACCAGGACATCGCCAACTGCTTCGCGGCGTTCGTCGTTCACCGCCTCTCTTTGATATCGACGTGGCACTACCGACAAATCGACATGATCCTCGACGTAGGCGACCAACTCTACAAGGACTCCTACATCACGTACAGCCCTCGCAATCCCAAACTGGGAATGGCGAACATCCTGCGTAAGGTGTTCATAAAGGACGTCGAGGTTGCGTTAAAGGTCTACAAGCCCGTAATGAAGAACACTCTCAGCGCGCCCAACCTGGAGCTCGCCCTCATCAACTACTTCCAGCAGGAGCAGTTCTGCGTGCTCTCCACGCGTAACGAGCACGTCGCGCTCTTCTTCAGGGAGGGCCTGTACTACATCTTCGACCCGCACGACTGCGACCTCGAGGGGAACAGGACGGCCGAGTGCGGCGTCGCCTGCATCGTCAAATTCCAGACGATTCCGAACTTGGTCGCCAAGTACGTCGCCAATTACACCAGGCCGGACGAGGGCGACGTATTTACCATTACGTTAGTCACGCTCGGGAGCATTGTAGTGAAAGGGGGCGGGCGGGCTTTAACTAGTTAAGATTACTTTTTAATTAATAAAGGGCATATCTTTAATTGCGGTAAATTCGGGGGTTTTCGTAAGTGTTCGAAAGGAGCTTTATGAGCATTTTTGACATTCATGGAGATTCTTAGAATAAAAGGCTTGAAAGCTCTGGTGGTGACCTTTCAAAGCTTCTCAAGGAGTAATTAGTATCAATTCACGGGTCTAAAAGCTTCTTGGATTAACATTTAATAACTCGGGTCTTAAACGTTTTATATACTTCCAACGCTAATTAAAGGTCCTTTAGTATTTATAAAAACCTTTATATTTTGAACTTCTTGGACCTCAGGAATTGGTACCTGATTTCCTGTAATTTTAAAGACTTAAGGGCTTTAAAACATGTCGTCTTAGATGTGTGAAGGTCTTTAGATGCTCGTAGAAAGTATGGCCACCCCTGATAAGCTCTTAGATGCTTTTAAAGGTCTCTTAAGTGCACTTAAAAGCTTGGAACAGCTCTCGAGCGTCTTTCAGGATCGGATATAATACATCCGTAAGGTTTTTAAAGGCTCTTAAACTTCGCCAACTGTGTTATCCGAGTCGTGAAATAGCCCAAAATCTAAGGTCGAATGCGTGTAAAGGCTCCAAAATAATTCCAAATGTATTGTTTTGAATCTAATTACATAACCTCAGTAATTTACAATTGAATGCGACCATTTGTCATATCGTTAAGAACTTTGTTGAATGCGGCCAAAGCCGACATCAGATTTTAAGGTTATGTTGACTGTTTTGAACTCGCTTTGTACGATTATCCGGAAGCTTTATACGTAGAAATGGCAGACGTGCTGGACATCAACGATTCCGTCGACTTGGACGTCGAAGACGACGGCGATCAGGGCGTACTCCGCCTCAAGGACAAAGTGCTGCGACGCAAAGGTCGCGGCTTCGGTACGGGCGAGCGTCGCGAGCACGAGAAGAAGGGCTACGAGAGCGTCGACCCCGGCGACTACTCCGACGAGTCGGGACCGCAAAAGTCCGTCGAGGGCTGGATACTGTTCATAACGTCCGTCCACGAGGAGGCGTCCGAGGAGGATCTCAGCGAGAAGTTCTCCGAGTTCGGGCCGATCAAGAATCTCGCGATCAACTTGGACCGACGCACCGGCTTTCTGAAGGGGTACGCGCTCGTCGAGTACGGCGAGTTCGAGGAGGCGAACAACGCTCGCGAGGCGCTCGACGGCGGCGAGATACTCGGGCAGACGATCGGCGTGGACTGGTGCTTCGTGAAGGGGCCGAAGAAGAATCGACGCGGCAGAATGAAAAGACACTGATTTTCGTATTTTGTATTCGATTATTATTATTATTACAAACTAACTTAACGATTCAGTCTTCATTATTGCGGTGCGGACGGACGAAGTACTCGGGCCGATTCTAAAACAAATGAGCCGTACGAACGTAGACTATCGGCGTTTGCGGGGCGACCACGTGCCGGTGACGATTATTACGATCGAGACAAAGGTGACGATTGCGCCGAGGATGCTGCCGTATTTTAGACAGAGCTCGATCGTCGGCACTGTAAGGCTGACGAGGTAAATGCTGTTGGTGATGGCGTCGGGGAGGTCACTTTCTTCTAGGGCCTGTAGATGGTGGTGGGTGTTAGATTTACCGGGGTGATGCAGGCGGGGGCGCTTACCATTTGTACCCAAGCCATTGGGAGTATTATGTCGTTCTCGAACATCTCCAGCTGGCTCATGCCGAGGGACTTTTGCACCTGGACGTTAAGCTGCAGACTGCTTCTACCCCCCATGGCAAATCCGAGGGTGGGGTGAACCAAAACGTAGTTGTCGGCTACTTGGTGGGGTTTCATACCGTCCACGCCGGTTTTGATCTCGTCCTCTGCATTGTAGAAGTGGGGTAACGACATGAAGATCGGAGCACCTGAAGGTAGATGGTCAGTTTAGTGGTCGAAACGAAGGTTTCCTACCGAAAGCTGCGGCGGCGGTGTTGAAGACGCCCTGCGGCGAGCACTCGTCTACGCAGTAGCATTCGTTGTCCACGTTGCGCTCAGCCGAATCGAACGTACTCTTGGGCATGATGTATCTGGCGGCCGTGACTTTGCCATTGAATATCTTCACGTCTTGGTCGTAGATGAGCTTGATGGTACGTGCCATTTCCTTATTAAAAACCGAGATGGGCCCCCTCCGTCTAACGTCCATAGGGGCGAATGCCGAGCCGTCGCTTCCCTTCACCTCGTTGCATTGCTCCGAGCCCCAATAGGGCAGGTAATTATTGCCGTTGAACGTGTCGATCTGCTTCACCTTGTTAATGTTGTTCACGCCGCTGTGCACCGAGAAGACGTCTTCGGAGGTTCCCTTCCTCTGCAACAATCGTAAGTGAGCAAACCTGGAGAAGGCACGTAAGGGACGTGAAACAAGGGAAGGTGATCTAAAGGGTGAGCCTACTGTTACTACATTTATCCCCCCCTCCCGGATGTTGTGGAACCCCCGGTAGGTACATGATTTGCAAAAAGCTTTCATGAGGGTATATGGAAAGGTATATAGGGAAAGAGGTGCCTTTGCTGAGGGCACATACTGCTGGGGGGGTTTTCCATACCCCCCGGTGGTACATTCCATGTCATTTTTGTTGGAGAAAAGGCCTTTATCCTGTAAACTATGGCGAAAACCCTCGTGGCTAAACGTTTTATGGGATATAAAGTGTTATCGGCGGGGCTGGGGGGGTATAGAATATTCCCCCCCAGTATACGATTTTCATTTCCAGAAAATGCTCATAAGTGCAGAAGGTTATAAGAAAAGAAGTTATCGGGTCCTCCTTTGCGAAGAGTACTCCTGGGGGGTATTCCATACCCCCCAGACCCCCCCGTGGTACGTTTACTGAAATTCTTTTTGGAAAAAAGGGTATGGTAGTCTTCCCAAAAATAATTGCGAAAGCCCTGAGGGATACTTAAACATTTTATGAGGTAAAGTGTCACCAGGGGGTCTGGGGGGTATGGAATACCCCCCAGTATACGATTTTCATTTCCAGAAAATGCTCATAAGTGCAGAAGGTTATAAGAAAAGAAGTTATCGGGTCCTCCTTTGCGAAGAGTACTCCTGGGGGGTATTCCATACCCCCCAGACCCCCCGGTGGTACGTTTACTGAAATTCTTTTTGGAAAAAAGGGTATGGTAGTCTTCCCAAAAACAATTGCGAAAGCCCTGAGGGATCTTAAACATTTTGTGAGGTAAAGTGTCACCGGGGGGTCTGGGGGGTATTCAATACCACCCAGTATACGATTTTCATTTCCAGAAAATGCTCATAATTGCAGAAGGTTATAAGAAAAGAAGTTATCGGGTCCTCCTTTGCGAAGAGTACTCCTGAGGGGTATTCCACACCCCCCAGACCCCCCGGTGATACGTTTATTGAAATTCTTTTTGGAAAAAAGGATATGGTAGTTTCCCAAAAACAATTGCGAAAGCCATGAGGGCTATTTAAACATTTTGTGAGGTGAAGTGTCACGGGGGGATATGGAGTACCCCCCTGTATACGATTTTCATTACCAGAAAATGCCCATAAGCGCAGAAGGTTATAAGAAGAGAAGTTATCGGGTCCTCCTTTGCGGAGAGTACTCCTGGGGGGTATTCCATACCCCCCCAGACCCCTTGGTAGTACGTTCTCTGAAATTTTTGTAGGAGAAAAGGTTCTGATGCTGATGGCGGAAGCTCTGATGACTAAACGTTTTGTGAAATAAAGTGTCACCGGGTATAGGGTCTGTGGAGTATAGAATACCCCCTCCCCCACTTCCTTTTTTACCAAAAAAGAATGCACCTCTCAATCAAAAGTTATAGACTAGAAACCAATTTCGACCAAAAATTCAAAGGGCTATAACTTTTGATCTAGGAGTCCAATCTTGGAACTGTTTGAAATTATGGATTCTACAGGGCAAATTCTATCAGAAAAACTTTTTTCCCGGTCAATTTTTTTTCAGGCCTCAATAAAAGGCAGTGTATACACTTCCTTTTTTACCAAAAACGACTGCACCAAAATTTCTCGGGAAAACACAGAAAATTGAGTCAGGAATGTGGCGAAGAAAATGAAAAGAAAACGCGAAGAGTAGTTGAAGGATTGGGGAGGAAGCGAGGTAGTAAATCTTACCGTTCCGAGAATGCCGAACTTTTCCAACGGAAGCTTCCTGTAGAAGCTCAGCACGTCCTTGACGACCGAGTAGAAGACGTCGTCATAGCCCCAAATGAACTTGTCGATCGGGACGTTGATGAAGGGCTTGGCGTCGAGCTGATGAAAAACTCCAGACAGCATCAGACGAAACGGGTAAAGGTAATCCTTGCCCGTAGCCGCCGCCCCCTGAAATCCGTGATATTAGCTACAACGTGATAAGCGGGCCACGGATTCTCAGACCAGCATCGGCAGGTTGGGGACGATCACGCTGTCGTTCGGCGAGCGTCCCCCCGAGAGATCGTCGCGATAGCGATGCACCCTCTTCTCCTGATAGCTGACGGTGCCGTTGGCGTGAAACTTCACGTTGACCTTCTCCATGGTCTCCTCGTAGACGTACGGGCCGATTTCGTCGACCTGCAGCTTCTCCGCGTCCCCGTTCTCGTACGCCTCCACGTTCGTGTAGTTGAAGACGTAGACATTTAGGTACGTCTTAACCGCCGGTCCCTTCCACATCTGATAACTGAGGGTGTCGTTCTTCAGCGTGATTTGCTACAAACTCCGATTACACCTCGTCCGCGGTTTCCGACCGACGTTTAACTCACCGACAGCACGTAATCGTCCAGCTGAGTCGTGCCGAACATCAATCCAATACAGGAGCAGCTCGTGAGAAAAAGGACTGACAAACCGCAGAGAACTGGAGGGAAATCAGAGCGTGAAGGTGGGAATAGACCAAGCAAATATTGTCGTGCAACAGTCGAAAAACACACAAGTATACACAGTATGGCTACGTGTTGCCAACACGTATCCACTGTGTAAACTTGTGTGTTTTTCGACTGTTGCACAACAAATATTTGCTTGGTCTATTCCCACCTTGAAATTGTTAATTAATTTGAGCTAGTCGACGGGGTTAAAGCGATAACCTCCGAGGTTCAACGTCATCGTCGCGCTTACCCCATAAGTGTCGCGTGTTGTAATCGCGTCCGCAGAGCGACGCACTTTTCGGCCCCAGATCCTCCAGGATGTCCTTCGTGATCGTCGTGCTCTTCGTGATGATCTGCGCGCACTTCGTATCCGACTGATCCGAGAAGCGGCGATCGTAATCCAAAATTTTCGACATCCTTCACCGTTTCAAAACCAAATCACTAATGCGTCCTTATCGGTACTTCAACATTAATTTATAAAGAAGCGACGCCGTTATCTCGAAAGCGATAATGTAAACATCTTTGATTACGCCACCGATCCTAAACTCGCCTTTTTTTCTCGATACCCTTTCGTTAATTGAAATCGAAATTAATTAGGAAAAAAGTACGACCTGGTAACGGCGCCGTTAACCCAACGGGGAAGGTGACAATGCTTAACGATAGCGTAATCGCATTGCGCGCTTTTTTCCGAACAATAAACTTTATCGTCATTTTTTTTCAACAAAATCGTATGATTTTTAATTGAGCAATTAAGTTTTAATCGTAATTAGTGTGTATACATTCATTTTTCAGTTAAGCAGAAAAAAAACCGTAATTTTTCTGTACTGATGCACTTGATTATTGCGTCTAGACGATTAATTTGTTTATTTAGATCATGGTTCTTGGAATTGGTTTGTAAGAAGTTATGAATGGATGGTTTTGTGGAGCGATAAAAGGGCGTTTGTACGCTGTTTCGCGATCATTTTGATCGTTCACCATCGATGGGGAATGACCCAGCACCTGGGACTTCGTGGAAGCAAGCATGACGGAATTTGGTACTGAAAAAATCCCCTGATCTAAAAACCGCCCACCGTGTTACGCAATGATCATGGTAAAGCATTAGAATTCCTCTGATAGCATCCCTTAATGTCGCAACTCCAACCTCCTCCGTAGTAGAATCTCGTTACGATCTGTCTTTTTACACTTGTAACACTTATCAAGATCATAGAACCCAAGAAAGTGTAAATAGGAGGTAATTCACTAAAGGACACCTTCTATTTTATCCTAATCTACTGACAGATACACATTTTCCCTCCAAAAATGAGGATCGAGGAAGGGAAAGCAGTATCTCCTTCCAAGTTAGTATAATCTTTTGATATAAATCTTTCTTTTAAATTAGTGCATCAGGATGACAGGAACCCAAGAAGGTAATTGACATTTTGTTATAACCTGGACTCCTAATAGAAAATGTCCCAAAATGGGTACATCATAATCACAGCCAAAAGGAAGTCGGCGTAAGTGGAAACTATTACTATCTGACGTATTATGTTCTCATGCATGATATAAATCCTTCTGTTAAAAAGTAAAGTGTCGGGGCCACAGGAACTCGAGTTAAGAGGAAATAATTCGCATTAGATAAATTCCCAGAGGGCATTTGAACTAAATACGCCCAAAGTAGTTCAACTGTTAAATAATAGTTCAAAGTGACCGCCCATCGCAGATTTGCAGGTTATTTTGCAATCGACCCCTTTGTCTATTAAAAAGTAATTCCAGAAGCCCTACAATGGCCGACGGAGTCGAACGCATGGACAACGAAAGCATAAAACCGGAGAAGATGTTCACGCTGAAAAAGTGGAACGCCGTCGCGATGTGGAGCTGGGACGTCGAGTGCGATACGTGCGCGATTTGTCGTGTGCAAGTAATGGACGCGTGCCTTCGCTGTCAGGCGGAGAGCAAGCGGGACTTCTACGGCAAGCAGGACTGCGTCGTAGTCTGGGGCGAGTGCAACCACTCGTTTCACTACTGCTGCATGTCGCTGTGGGTTAAGCAGAACAATCGTTGCCCGTTGTGCCAGCAGGAGTGGTCCATACAGCGCATGGGGAAGTAATGGTGTGGTTTTTGTTATTAACTTATTTCGTCTAGTTGGGATAATTGTAATAAAAAGGGAATGTAATTGTGTTGGGTGATTCCTTTTTTCCCTTAAGGTTATGCAACCCACATCCCATGAGTGTAGTCATGGCAAACGCTTTCCATAATAACTAAATACATATGATGGATTCCACTCATGATTCTATTTACAGGGGAACCCGTCCAGGCACGTCATTGTGCCCCTTTCATTCGCAACTAGCTTCCGAAATCAATTATTTAGGTACTTTATTACGTAAGAGAAATTTGTCTTAAAAAGGCTGAGAGGTCCTCAATAATTTTGCCGCACCCTGTACTAAGAGTCATAGAATAAGTTTTCTAACCTCAAAATGTGGTTTCTAACCTACAATTTTTAAATTCGGCAACAAAGTAATGGGGACTGAAGCAACAAAAACTCCAACCTGTCTGCTCGTTCTCGGGATGGCAGGCTCGGGCAAGACGTCGCTGGTCAGCTGCCTCAGCCGTTCGGAACGCAAACCGTACACGGTCAACTTGGACCCCGCTTGTATACAGCTACCGTACTTCGCACACATCGGTAAGTACGAGCGTGCGAAACTTCACCTGACCGTTTTAAATCGACACAGACGTCCGAGACACGGTCAACTACAAGGAAATCATGAAGCAGTACCAGTTAGGACCGAACGGCGCAATCGTGACCTCCCTCAACCTATTCTCTACGAAATTCGCAGACGTCACCGACTTCATATCGAAATGCACGACGGAGCATTGCGTCTTAGACACGCCCGGCCAAATCGAAGTATTCACATGGTCCGTTTCAGGTACGATCATTACGGAGGCGCTCGCCTCCATGTTTCCCACCGTCATTCTGTACGTCATCGACACCGTGAGGAGCACCAAACCGGTGACGTTCATGTCGAACATGCTGTACGCCTGTTCGATCCTGTACAAAACCCGCCTGCCCTTCATAATCGTAATGAACAAAACCGACATCGTCGAGCACTCGTACGCCGTCAACTGGATGAAGGACTTCGAGTTGTTCCACGAGGCGCTCGAGGCGGACGAGTCGTACATCAGCAATCTGACGCGTTCGATGGCGCTCGCGTTGGACGAGTTCTACCAAAATTTGCGGGTGTGCGGCGTCTCGGCCGCCACTGGCCAGGGGCTGGACGAACTGTTTTCGTTAATCGATGATGCGAAGGTTGAATACGAAAGGTACGTCAAAATCGTATTTGACAATGAATAATCGTACGGTTGTAGGGATTACAAGGCGGAGTGGGAGAAAATACGTCAAAAGGCCGCTAGCGGTGATGCCTCCCGTGAGAATCCGTCGAGCTCGCTTGTGACTACCGTTCCGAGCGGCCGTGAGCTTGCGGACGTCTATTTGCGCAGACCGGGGAATGAGAGCAGTTCCGATTCAGAGGGCGAAGAGGTGAACGTGCACGGTGAATTTAATATCGTTACTTTTAAGAAGTTTTGTTACCGTTATCCTTTCAGAGTTTGGTACGAATGCCACGGCAGACGAGGAAAATTTCGCCAAGGTTCTTCAGCAGCAGAGGGAGATGCAGATTAGGCGAGCGAAAGAGGCCGAAGTTCGCAAACAAGCCCAATGAGAGTTATTTTTGATACGTTTTTATATTACAGTTCGTTTTTATATTACAGTTCGTTTAAGTTGGTCTTTTATTCGTCAATTGTGCACCCTTAAATGGTTGAAGAGGTACACCCTTTAAATACTCAAGACATGTTGTGATCCCCTGATAGTAAATAATAATAATAATAGCAGGTTTGACTTGTCAAAGCGGCTCGTGATCCTTAATACGGTCCGTGGTAAGTGATCGCTTTAGTAGTCCAAACGCCATTTCAGTAGTTACATTTGTGCGGTAGTTCAAATTTCCAATTGCAACCAGCTGATGGCAGTCAATTGAGGCTTTTTATTTAAATGATTACAAATAATGCCGAAAATGGAGGTCATCCGTTGCAAGGTACCGTAAAAATGACGATGGCAACCGACAAAAGGAAGTACGTGACGTGCGACCAGAAATCCGTCCTCGTCGACTTCATCAAGACCCATTACGAAATGGCAAAGCCGAGATTGGACAATTCGTTCACGGTGAAAGAGCTGAACAGTTTGTGGGAGCAACTGTCGTGCACCCTAAATCGTCTGGAAGGCGCGACGAAGTCGTCGAGGGGCTGGCGAAAGGTACGTCGTTTTCACCTAAGTTTTGCATTTCACTGATCGACTTTGAAGTGCTGGCACGATTTGCGACGCAACACAAAGGAGAAGGTGGCCAAGTTACGACTGCAAGGCCGTTCCAGTTCGCAGGAGGAATTGACGCCGATTCAAGAGAAGGTGCGCGCGTTAATCGAGGAAAACGACCTGAAGGAGCCGGTCGTGTTTTACAATATTAAACCGGAGAATGACGCGCTTCCGGCCGAGCTGGACGTGGCGAGCAACAGCGCGGACTCCTGGGCGGAACGTAAACCGGCGGTGGAGCAGCCGCCGGTTCCGAAACAGAAACGATTTAGGACGCGATTGCGAAGCTTCGCCGAGCGTAAGTTGCATATAAAAAAGTCGTATTACAATCGCAAGCTGGCGCTGCTAGAGCAACACATTCAGGCGATAAATCGACAGACGGATGCGATCAACAAACAGACTGTCGTGCACGAGCGCCTAATGCAATTATTAAATCCGAAATTAGCTGTTTAGGGATTAGGTTTTTGTGTAGTAATTTTTACGAATAGAAATAAAAAATGCTATTAGTTCTAATGTACCATTTGTGGGTCAAATGTCTCGCGACAACATAACCTTAATCTAAAATGAGTGCCCAGTTCTCCACAAACGAGGCGGTGAGTTTAGAGAAAGAAATTGGTGGTGTGCGGCTGGTGGATACTCCGGAGGAGGCACTTGGCACGGTTTACGAGATAGACAGGTGCATCGAGTGGATCCGAAGTCACGATTTTAAATCGGTAAGCAATGCTTGTAACCGTTGGTGACTTCACTCACGCATTTCAGGTTTGTCTGCAATTCCCCGATCACCTCCTGTCCGATTCGACGAAAATCGCGCAGCGGCTGCAATCGGCACTGCAGCAAACCGTTTATGTACTAGGCGATTCGGCTTACGAAAGGTAATGTATGAGGCTATACGAAACTGGGCTGTTCAGGCGAGATTTGCACTCGCAACCATGGGGAAAATAGAATCTTACTTTCAAGGAACACATTTCATTTTCATTTAACGCCTTGGGCGTCTGAAAAAGGTAAGTCAGAAAACGTAGACGTAAATGCAGATGCTGATTTTTTGAACGAAACAATTGCGACTCGCGTACCCCTTCAAACCCTATTGGTTTATGGCTTATTGCGCAACGGAACGAAGAGATCGTGGCAACCGCGCTTGTTCGATATGACTCGTTATCGCCAGTCATATTTTTGTTCAAGTTCACTATGAAGCGGTACATTTTGCTATGCCCATTACAGCAGTCAAAGTTACCTTTCCTTGCAGTTGCTGCATCGATTACATCACAGCCGCCCACGCAAACGCGGACGCCATAATCCACTACGGCCCCGTTTGCTTCTCGCAAGCCGCAAACGAGATCCCCTTCCTTAACATTTACGAAAAGCGCGATCTGAACCTGCCCGCGTTAACACAAACCGTCCGGCCACTGACAGAGGCCGATCCCGATTTCAGCATAGTCGTCGACACCGAGTACCTGACGCACTTTGGTAACACACCCCGCGCGCGCCTTTAAACGCGAACTTGAATGTTGTAGATGATATTCGCGCGGCGTTCCCGACGGTCCCAGTCCGTTCGATTCTCGAGCCGCCCGCCTCGCAACCGCGCGTCCTCATCCTCTGTCACAATCAACGCAAAATTCTCAACTACAAGCTCTCGTTCAAACGTAAGTTGCCGATACGACCCGAGCGAGTTACAAAAAAGCGTTCGTTTCAGCCCGAGAGTTGCGCTATTACGATCCGACGACCGATCGACTCGTCGACTACGAATGCGACCCGAAGGTGTTGAAGCGACGCCGCTTTCTCGCCGAGAAGATCCGAGATAGCAATACGATCGGCATTATCATCGGGACGGTGGCCGTTAAGAATTACCTGACCGTTTTGGACAGGATGAAGAAAGTGATCAAGGCGTGCGGGAAGAAGTACTACGTCATCAGCGTCGGGAAGCCGACGGTCGCTAAGCTCGCGAACTTTGCCGAGGTAGGTACTTTCCGAAGAGGCGTACGCCCATTTTTTACTCTCGCTGTTGCAGATGGACGTTTACGTGGTCGTCTCGTGCGCGATGAACGAGATTTACGACAGTCGCGAGTTCTACAAGCCGATCGTGACGCCTTACGATGTCGAGGTCGCGTTAAATGAGGCCGCGACCAGTCACGACTTCACCTACAATTACAACGACTACCTGAGTGACGCCGAGATTCGTCCCAAGGAGGACGCCGACGTCAGCCTGATTACCGGCGCTTTGCGTTCGAGCACCTTGGAGGAAACCGCCGAAGAGAGCACCGAAATCGCCGTTCGCAACGACGGTACGGTCGCGTTGAATACCAGCTTCGGTGCCGGTTTTCTAGCGCAGCGTAACTGGAAGGGCCTGGAGCAGAATCTGGGACAGGACGAGGTCGAGTTGGCCAGCGAAGGGCGGCGGGGGATTGCGCAGGGTTACAGTAACGAGAAAAGTTGACGATTGTTATGTATGCCGAGCAAAAATAAATTGTACGGTATTTTTTGTTGAATCTCGTACTTTCTGCCCATTTCTGGTAAGTAAAATGTGTTTACACGGGCAGTGCGGGTAGTTTTCGGCTCGTCTTTAATTAGCTTAAACACGCAATTAACTTAATTTATTAATTACAAATAAAGATCACCAATTTATCATTCAATTTCTAGCGCACTCTTACAACTTGCTGAAAGGAGGACCTGATAACTGCTTTTCTTATAACCTTCTGCAATTATGGGCGTTTTGTGGAAATGAAAATCGTATACGGGGGGGTATTCCATACCCCCCAGACCCCCCGGTAACACTTTACCTCACAAAATGTTTAAACAGCCCTCGGGGCTTTCGCAATTGTTTTTGGAAAGACTGCCACATGCTCTTTTCCAAAAAGAATTTCAGTAAACGTACCACGGGGGGGTCTGGGGGGTATGGAATACCCCCCAGGAGTCCTCCGCGCAAAGGAGGACCTGATAACTCTTTTTCTAATAACCTTCTGTAATTATGGGAGTTTTGTGGAAATGTAAATCGTATACTGGGGGGTATTCCATACCCCCCAGACCCCCCGGTAACACTTTACCTCACAAAATGTTTAAACAGCCCTCGGGGCTTTCGCAATTGTTTTTGGAAAGACTGCCACATGCTCTTTTCCAAAAAGAATTTCAGTAAACGTACCACGGGGGGGCATACCCCCCAGGAGTCCTCCGCGCAAAGGAGGACATGATAACTCCTTTTCTAATAACCTTCTGTAATTATGGGCATTTTCTGGAAATGAAAATCGTATACTGGAGGGTATTCCATACCCCCCAGACCCCCCGGTAACACTTTATCTCACATGTTTAAACAGCCCTCAGGGTTTTCAAAATTGTTTTTGGGAAGACTGCCACCTTCTCTTTTCCAAAAAGGATTTCAGAAAACGCACCTCTGGGGGGTATGGAATACCCCCCAGGAGTACTCCGCGCAAAGGAGGACCTCATAACTCCTTTTCTTATAACCTTCTGCACTTATGGGCATTTTCTGGAAATGAAAATCGTATACTGGAGGGTATTCCATACCCCCCAGACCCCCCGGTAACACTTTATCTCACATGTTTAAACAGCCCTCAGGGTTTTCAAAATTGTTTTTGGGAAGACTGCCACCTTCTCTTTTCCAAAAAGGATTTCAGAAAACGCACCTCTGGGGGGTATGGAATACCCCCCAGGAGTACTCCGCGCAAAGGAGGACCTCATAACTCCTTTTCTTATAACCTTCTGCACTTATGGGCATTTTCTGGAAATGAAAATCGTATACTGGGGGGTATTCCATACCCCCCAGACCCCCCGGTAACACTTTACCTCACAAAATGTTTAAACAGGCCTCAGGGTTTTCGCAATTGTTTTTGGGAAGACTGCCACATCCTCTTTTCCAAAAAGAATTTCAGTAAACGTACCACGGGGGGTCTGGGGGGTTTGGAATACCCCCCAGGAGTACTCCGCGCATAGAAGGACCTGATAACTCCCTTTCTTATAACCTTCTGCACTTATGGGTCTGGGGGGTTGGAATACCCCCCAGGAGTACTCCGCGCATAGGAGGACCTGATAACTCCTTTTCTTATAACCTTCTGCACTTATGGGTGGTTGCTTGAAATGAAAATCGTATATGGGGGTGGGGGAGTATTCCAGAATAAGCTTGGATTGTGCCAAACAGACCAGATTTCTGCGACTTTTGACGGATATACAGAGCACCTCTTCGAAGTTTTGAGTACCGTTACTGAATCATGTTAGCTTGTTATAAAAATTATTTCCGTTAAGGACCCGATACAGTTCCGATTCTTCACAGCATATGTTGCTCGGCTGTGTCTCTCGCCTACTGCCGGACGGTGCGCAAGCAATACGAGAAGAGAGCTCCTCTAATTCACATTTCTTCTGTTTGTGGTAATCGATAGCTTGCATTTTCGTGTTAAATTAAATTAATGGTAGCAGAGGATGTAGCAGAATTAAGTCATTTTGATAATTTTTTTAAATGTGGGTACATGCAATTTATCAATTTATGGGTTGTTTTGATCGTACTAAATTGATTTGTCGTGTTTTCCATTTGCATTTATGATGTCTCGTGTTTTTATTAATTTGTTTAACTGTGTTTGATTCGATTATCTCATTTTTATTGTTCTGTTTGAGATTTGCGTGCCGTTGTTGTTGTTGCGCCATAGTAAAAAAGACAACGCAGGAGTCCCAGTCCCTTCTGAATGTCTGGCAACTGTATAGGGTAAGTCAAAATTGCAGGTTTATGTCGAACTCGCCTTAACAGGGAACTGGCCCCCACGCACGCGACAGAATTGTATTTATTATCCATAACTTACCAATTTCGATGAAAATTAGGTCGTTTAATATTATGACACAATCGCAGACTAATTATAATTACCTCCTACGCCGCTGCGAGTCAAGTAACGCAAGTAATTAAACATTTTAATTTTAGACGACCATAAAATTAATTTACGATTGTTTAGAATACAATTCAAATTGCACATTCTCCGTACGCAAGGCGCATTGATTATTAATTAATTAAAAATCGTTTCTTTCCGCTCCGAATACCTCGATTGCATTCCCAGGCCGCGCCTACCAGTTGGTCAATTGATATGGGAATATGTTTTGGTAGTACGCGTGGTAGTCGATGTAATTTCGCAACGCGGAGATGCGGGAGAAAACGCCGGGAAATTGGGGGTCGCCGCAATTGATGCCCCAGGAGATGACGCCGATTTGCACGCCGTTGTACACGAGGGGTCCGCCGGAGTCTCCCTGAAATAAGCGGAAGGTTAACGTGGAGGGATCGGCGACGGTTTGGCTCACCTGGCAGGCGTCTTTGCCTCCGCCGGGGTAGGCGAAGCAGATCATCGCGCTTGTGACCGGTCTGTCTTTGTGCCGGTACATGTCCTGGCATATCGGATTGGGCAACGAGTAGACGATGGCAGCTTGCAGTTGTTTTGGTATTTTCCCCGCCTTGGCCAGCGTGCCCCAGCCGGTAATGAGACCGCCGGCGCCTAGTGGTGGGATGTACGCGCCTTGGGGGGCTAGGCGGATCGGGGCCATGGTCGGCCCAAACTGAAGATGCCCCGCCAGAGTCAACACGCTGACGTCATTGTGGTAGGTGTTGTTGTCGTAGAAAGGGTGCATGTGGATTGACTCCACGCGCATCAGCCGGCCCCCCTTGCCCCTGAACGAGGAACCGGCGCGCACCCTCAACTGCGACCTGCGCACCCTGGAAGATTAGGCATCAGAACCCGTCGGTAACCACCCCCTAGGTACTTACTTCTCGACGCAGTGCGCGGCCGTTAAAATTTTGTTCGAGGCGATGATTGAGCCGCCGCAAAACTGGAAATCGTTCACCTCCAGGGCGACCTGGTACGGAAACTGCTCGATGAGCACCTTGTTGCCACCGATAATCCTCTGGGAGAGATCACAGGCCGCCGCGACGCAAACCAACGACAGGCCGAGGAGAAGAAACATAACGACGCGATCTTCACAACGCGAAGAGACTCAATTGATCAGGTCTAGTTATTATTCGCGAATCCAGATAATTTTTATGGTCATTCTTAATTGCCTATTATAAGTATAAAAAATTGATCAGGCTCTTTTTAATTTGCTTTTCCGTTTTCATTACGTTTTAATGTAAACAGCGAAATGTTTATGTATGGCCATTGTATTTATAAATACAATGGTATAGCGATCAGCCGATCGAATTTATGGCATAAATTGGAAACGGGGCGCCTATTAAACGAGGCGACGCCTCCACCAGGTGAAACGATGAGCGTTGTGTACGGCTTCGAGGCGCGCGCAGTCGTCGCGGAAGGTCGCATCACGACCGCCCAAATTGAGCACGTCAAAGCGTGGCTGACCGCCGAAAATCTCCACCTAACCGACGAACAGGTCGTCCTCTTCTCGTTGTCCTGCCTAAACGAGCCGGAAGACACCAAGACCACCATTAGAGCGTACTGCACCACGAAGAAGATCCACCCCGTGTTGTTCACCGATCGAAGTATGCGCCAGTCGGAGCTCCAGCAGCAGTTGCAAGTCGTGTAAGTTGCGTAACATGAGACTCTTTTACCAGTTGGGCTTCCAGTGACTTCGCCGTGTTCCCGAGGCGAACCGTCGACGGATGCGCGATCGTCTTCCACAGTCTACGCGACCCCAACTTCCGCCGCTACCACATGGAGACGGCGATGAAACTGTTACTCATGACTCTAGACGCCGCCATCTACGACCACCCCTCGACCGGCCTCGTGATGCTGTTCGACATGAAGGGAGTACGCAAACTCAAATTTAACCCCCCCAAACTAAAACTCTCCCTGCACAGGTCGGCCTCCTTCACCTCACCCGCGTCCGACTCAAAGCCGTACAGGTCTTCTGCCAGTACCTCCAGGAAGCGCTGCCGGTGAAGCTGACCGAAATTCACGTTCTCAACACGGTGAACTTCCTGGAGAAGGTTCTCAACATCCTCAGGCCGTTTGTTAAGACCGAACTCTTCGAAAAGATCAAGTTCCACTCGACCCGGCTCGACATGGACGAGTTCCACGCGAAGTACGTGCCGCGGGAGTGTCTACCGGCCGACTACGGCGGCGAGCTGGGGCCGCTCGAGGTGCTCGCCGAGGGAAACGCGAGGAGGCTGCTCGAATTGGAGACGTTTTTTGAGGCCGAAGAGAATCAGCAGAGGCGAAATATAATTTGAACGTAAAATAAATGCGATTATCTGTGCTCCTGATACCAATAATTACTCGTTTGGGATTTTGCAAAACGAGAAGGTTAATTCTATGTTACTCTCCCACGGCACTGAATGACGTAATGCGTTTCATAATTCACTTTTTCTAATGGACGAGCCAAAGCCAATTCACTTCCACACATATTATATTCTCCTGATACTAAACTTGCAAAGGAAGACAATCTGCGAGCCTGGCACGTACGACAACCATTTGTATCAGGAGAACAATTTTAGTAGACCTCATTTGTTTCTGCAGCACATTTTTGAGAAAAACGTGCCAGGAAACCATAAAATGTAAGTATCTGGGTTTTTTTGTATTCTGATAGCCAGCAATAATTTACAACTTTCTAACGTGTTCTGCGTGTTCGCATCCTCGTACATGAAGATCGAAAACGACCTCCTCATCCATCATGTTCTCCTGGTATAGACAGAAAAAGTTTACAAGAACTGATACTTTGCGTTACAATAGAAAATAGAAAAGGAACGTTTAATCTTTGTTTGTTGGAGGTGGGGGGGGGGGGGAGGGGGGTTCAATATCAGACCCTCAGTGTTACGTTGTCCACCATACTTTCACCCCTAAGAACTGTCTCTTTCTAAAAATTATGCCGTAAGTAAATATTTTGGGGTGGTACAGTACAACCGGGGGGTCTGGGTGGTGTGGAATACCCCCCGACACACATACCACCCCACTACATAACATTTTATGATTGCAAGAAAAGGAACGTTGAATTTTTGTTTTGCTCGGCGCTGTGGTCCTCCACAAAATGTTCGGCTTACTTCGTATTTTTGGAGTTGAAACATCTCCTCGCACATTATATTCTCCTGATACAACATTTGTCAGAATTTAAGACGAAGTTTGGCGTTGAGATATATGTTTGAGGGGATGGGAAATGTTCTCCTGGTACGCGAAACTAACTTCGCGTTTTTTAGGAGGTCGCACGTTATAATCTCCTAATACAAGATTTGGAGATGGACTGCTAGTCCAAGTATTGGGAGCAGGAGCACCTCTGATACGAGGATTATGTGCTCCTGTTCTAATCTGTTTGGACAATATTAAAAAATAGACTCGAGATATTTATTGAGTAAGTGTATAACGTCGCAATTACTCGATTTTGTCCCACTCTGCGCGATCGGCCGACGCCCATATGACGTAGATGATGTTAGTGATGCTGGAAGTCCCGAACATGATCCAAAACATGATCATCCACTGGTCCAAGGTGTTCTGGAGATTAGGACAACATGAGAAAGTGGCGCGAGGAGATCGCTTAAATTACCTGCGGTGCAACTGCGGCGATTATGTACGATACGGGATAGTAGGCGAGCGATCCGGCCGCGTTTACGAAGGCGGAGAGTACGCCCGAAAAGTACTTGGTGATGTCCAACGCGTTCACTCTCAGTCCGGGGTAGAACGGTCCCTTGAAGAACATTGACAGGATAAACCAGGATGCTGCCAGGTACTGGTTGCAGCCGGCGTATCCCGCCAAGAGTACGCAGATGCTTGGGAGAACGGAAGCTGTGGGTGAAACGGGTTAGGGAAACGCGGCCTCTGAGTCACCCACCTATGGTCGTGTAGAGTTTTCGAATTCCAACGATGCTGATCAGTCCTTTATTGATGACCGTGTCCGCAATTACTGCGCTGATTGCGCCACTGATCCACAGCGCAGCGTAAGGTACTGACGTCAGTAAGCCGTTCATGCTGACCGAAAATTGAAGAACGTCCTTGAAGTATGTCGGAAGATTGGTACAGATGAAGAAGAACAGTATGCCGTGACCCGACTGTCCCATCATCAGCGCGAAGGTCGGCCAGTAGAAGATGAGCTTCATCCACGGCACCTTCAGCTTTACTGCCGATCCGCATTCGGCGATGAGCATCTCTTTCTCTTCGGGAGTGATGTAAGGATGTATTGCGGGCTCGGAGTAACACAATAGGCAGTAAATGACGAACCATACCAATCCGATGACGGCCCAAAAGTAAAACCCGCACCTCCAGCCGAAGGCCGAAATCAAGACTCCGGTGAGGGCGTTTGCAATGATGCTTCCAATTTGAGGTCCGGTGAAGACCAGACCGCCTAGCCGCCCTCGCTGCGCCTTCGGCACCCACCTGGCCAGGAACGTGGTCACCGCCGGGAAGAGCGGTCCCTGCGCCAAGCCCATCACGATGCGCGTGATGCACAAAAGAACCACGCCGCCGATGTCGATCGCGACGGGCGTGAGCGCCGACAACACGGCGGATATGGCGACGCCGATCCCAAGCACGTGCTTCGCCCCGTACGCGTCCGCCATGAATCCTCCGGGAATGTGCGTCAGTATGTACCCGGGAAAAAATGAAGACAAAATGGCCGCCTTCTCGCTCGCCGTCCACGGATACTCCCCATCCTACAATGAATAACTCTAGTCAACTTGCCGAAACAACTCGCTACCTTTTTGGTCTTTTCGTCGTAGAAGCTGGACACGCGGTTGGCGGGACGGTCGCGCCCTCCTTCGGCGGTGGAGGTTTCGCCATCACCGTTATGGAAATGTTCAGGCACTGGCGCAGCGTGTAATCGCAGCAGATCCCCAAAAAAACCATGAAGCAGAGCACGTACCGCTGCTGGATCACCACGTCTGCAAAATGAGATGTACGGTTAGCGTCGGCGCCGTTCTCGCGACGCTTCTTACTCCCGTAGACGCATTGTAAGCAACTGAAGGTCATTGTAGAATTTCTGCAAAAAAAATTACAACTAAATAAATGTGACACCGCTACGGAATTGTTTTCCAAAGGCGTCCTGATGATGGGAAGGTGACGGAACTCCAATCCTGAATGACTGTGCCGGAAGCGGCGTAGGAGCTGGTGAATGGGGGATGGCAGGAGCGATGCACTGGACGTCCGCGTCTGTAGGGGACATTCTACTCTGAAAGGAGCACCTTTCCCTTGCTTCGTGTCTCCCCCGAGCGTTTTACTACCTCTGGCAGTCAGAAGAATCGCGTACGAATTACAGTGATCTTCGAGTATGATGTGTTGCCTACCAACAGGCTACATACTCGTCGGATTCACATATTTTAGCTATTTCCTTGAATCTAAGATTATGCAAATACGACTAAGTACATGAAGGACACCATTACAAGGTAAGTGTAACGTGACTATTCCTCCGCACTGCCGAAATGTAGCAAAATAAAGATAAAAATAGGTCGCTTTTTAATTTGAAAACAACTATCCGACATCTAACGTTTGTTTAATGAACCCGATCTTTTTTTCGGTCTGGTTGTGACATCTGTAAGAAGTTTCAACAACTAATATAATTGGTAAGTTGTGAGTCTGACTTGATAACGCCAGATGGCGGGACGATATTTAATTATTATCAACTAATAAACCGTAATTTATATTCAAAGGAATAAACAAAGGTTACATATCGTTTGATGTCCAGGATCTGGTCGTTTTGAATTCTAAAGGCCAAAATAAACAAACCGGACCAGCGGCAGAGGTCTGATAAAACGAACTCGAGCCCCTAAATAGCCTGGCTTATAGGCAACACATCACACTCAATGATCGGAAATCTAATTTTCTACTGTTATTGGTAATTTCTTGCACGGGATTTGATAGAACATTCGACACTGGTACGATTTACAATTTTTATTCGAAGTTCGCACAAACAACACATTTTTTCACGCTTACAAACTATAGGTATAACACTTTCGACCCATTTCACTACCGTTTTTATATCCGTAGTAATTCAACTCGAGGCACAGTCTTTTAAAAAATAGCTTCGCACCATCGGCAGCTGCTGCAATCATGGAATCGCTTCGACTTTTAACGTTTTTGAATTGCATTTGAATGGATTTTCTGCAAGTTCTCCACCGTGTCCTTCTGTTTTGATTACAAAGCGTTTCCCCTTTCAATTTGTGTTGTCGGAATGCAATGCTAACTCTTCTCATACATCGTGAACTAGCCGTCTTCCGATCGGACGACCCAGAGCGATCAGTCCCATTATTCACAGTTGCCGAATCTGCCGCTTCCCTTACACTCCCAGTTGCCAGTTCCCCAATTTAAACCTGTAAGAGCGAAAGGAGCGATAATAAAGTTCAATTTCGATTAAAAAAAAAATAAACATTTGTACATTTGAGGTTAATTCTTAATATATCTATGGTAAATTATCGAGAGCTCTGACATCTAACGTTGGTTTCATGAAGTATAATAGAGAAAGCGTGGCGCTATTTTACGTAAATAGGTGTAACTAAAGTAATGGTAATAATAAAGTATTCTGCATTTATTGATAAAATATTAGTCTCCATTAATAATGATAGATGTCAGCACACTGTTTTTCCTTTGATAATTTAATTATTTTTAAAAACTCGGGCAAAGCTATAAACACTTTAGGTTTTGTGCCATCCCCCTGTCAAAGGAGTCACAAAAACTAAACACTTCGTTCCTGTATTACAGCCCGATTATTATGTGTCATAACGTATTTGGGTTGTCATGGAAAAGGCTGGATGAAAGGGCGACCATTCCTTCAGATTTTATGAGGATTTTGAAAATGTATCTGTTCGCAAAACACAAGCTAAATTTCCATACGAGTATGCCGCAATAAATAAGAAATTTGAAATGGGTATTCGTAGCAAGGACATTGGAAGGTAAAGTTTCATGCGAGCATTGAATAATAAATCTGAATTTATTATTCAATGATGCGAGTTAGGTTAGATCTTGTGAGTGAAAGTTAATTTCACTGATGCTGAGGTTAGAGATTCCTTGTAGGTGACGTTAGATGGCAAAATTTTCCTGTGGATAACCTCCTTGCAAATTATATTCTCCTAATACAAAATTTTCTGAGCTAACCTAACTATCACCCTAACCTAACCTCGCTAATTTTTATCCCAACCTACAATCTCCTCACATATTATGTTCTCCTGATACAAGATTTCTGAGCTAACCTAACTATCACCCTAACCTAACCTCACTAATAGTTTATCCTAACCTACAATCTCCTTGCATATTATGTTCTCCTGATGCAAGATTTCTGAGCTAACCTAACTACCACCCTAACCTAACCTCACTAAAACTTTACTCTAACCGTCAATCGCCTCCTCGCACATAATATTCTCCTGATACAGAATTGGCAAATTTTTAAAACGAATGAAAGCTTTGAAATAATTCTGAGAGAGATAGAAAAAGACCTCTTCGTGCATTATGTTCTCCTAGTAGCTCGACACATTTTACATAAGTTTGCCGACACGCAACAGGTATAGTATTAGGAAAGAACACCTCCTCGCACATTAATGCCCCTGATACAAAATGGCAAATTTCTAAATTGAATGAAAGCCTTGAAATAATTCTGAGAGAGATAGAAAAATATCTCTTCGTGCATTATGTTCTCCTAGTAGCCCAAATTCTATCAGAAAAACATTTTCCGTACTAATTTTGGTGCGTAGAATCCAAAACGAGTCGTACTTTTTCGATTAGACCTCTCAATCAATAGTTATAAAATAGAAACCAATTTCGACCAAAAATTCGAAGGGCTATAACTTTTGTACTAGTAGTCCAATCTTGGAACTGTTTGAAATTATGGATTCTACAGGCCAAATTCTATCAGAAAAACTTCCCGGTCGATCTGAGATAATTCTTTTCAGGCCTCAAAAAAAGGCAGTGTATACACTACCAATTTCTTTGCATAAGTTTATCGACAAGTAACAGGTGTAGTATTAGGAAAAGAAACACCTTCTCGCACTCATATGATCCTGATACAGAATTGGTAAATTTTTAAATCGAATGAAAGCTTTGAAATAATTCTGACCGAGCTAGAAAAAGACCTCTTCGTATATTATGTTCTCCTTGTAGCACGACACCTTTTGCATAAGTTTGTCGACAAGTAACAGGTGTAGTATTGGGAAAAGAAGCACCTTCTCGCACTCATATGATCCTGATACAGAATTGCCAAATTTTTAAATCGAATGACAGCTTTGAAATAATTCTGACAGAGCTAGAAAAAGACCTCTTCGTATATTATGGTCTCCTAGTAGCACGACACCTTTTGCATAGGTTTATCGACAAGTAACAGGTGTAGTATTGGGAAAAGAAGCACCTTCTCGCACTCATATGATCCTGATACAGAATTGCCAAATTTTTAAATCGAATGACAGCTTTGAAATAATTCTGACAGAGCTAGAAAAAGACCTCTTCGTATATTATGTTCTCCTAGTAGCACGACACCTTTTGCATAAGTTTGTAGACAAGTAACAGGTGTAGTATTAGGAAAATAAAAACCTCTTCGCACTCATATGATCCTGATACAGAATTGGCAAATTTTTATATCGAATGAAAGCTTTGAAATAATTCTGACAGAGCTAGAAAAAAACCTCTTCGTACATTATGTTCTCCTAGTAGTACGACACCTTTTGCATAAGTTTGTCGACAAGTAACAGGTGTAGTATTAGGAAAAGAAACACCTCCTCGCACTCATATGATCCTGATACAGAATTGGCAAATTTTTAAATCTAATGAAAGCTTTGAAATAATTCTGACAGAGCTAGAAAAAGACCTCTTCGTATATTATGTTCTCCTAGTAGCACGACACCTTTTGCATAAGTTTGTCGACACATAACAGGTGTGGTATTAGGAAAGGAAACACCTCCTCGCACTCATATGATCCTGATACAGAATTGGCAAATTTTTAAATCGAATGAAAGCTTTGAAATAATTCTGACAGGGCTAGAAAAAGACCTCTACGTATATTATGTTCTCCTAGTAGCACGACACCTTTTGCATAAGTTTGTCGACAAGTAGCAGGTGTGGTATTAGGAAAATAAATACCTCTTCGCACTCATATGATCCTGATACAGAATTGGCAAATTTTTATATCGAATGAAAGCTTTGAAATAATTCTGACAGAGCTAGAAAAAGACCTCTTCGTATATTATGTTCTCCTAGTAGCACGACACCTTTTGCATAAGTTTGTCGACAAGTAACAGGTGTAGTATTAGGAAAATAAACACTTCTTCGCACTTATATGATCCTGATACAGAATTGGCAAATTTTTATATCGAATGAAAGCTTTGAAATAATTGTGACAGAGCTAGAAAAAGACCTCTTCGTATATTATGTTCTCCTAGTAGCACGACACCTTTTGCATAAGTTTGTCGACAAGTAGCAGGTGTGGTATTAGGAAAATAAATACCTCTTCGCACTCATATGATCCTGATACAGAATTGGCAAATTTTTATATCGAATGAAAGCTTTGAAATAATTCTGACAGGGCTAGAAAAAGACCTCTTCGTATATTATGTTCTCCTAGTAGCACGACACCTTTTGCATAAGTTTGTCGACAAGTAGCAGGTGTAGTATTAGGTAAATAAAAACAACTTCGCACTCGTATGATCCTGATACAGAATTGGCAAATTTTTAAATCGAATGAAAGCTTTGAAATAATTCTGACAGGGCTAGAAAAAGACCTCTTCGTATATTATGTTCTCCTAGTAGCACGACACTTTTGCATAAGTTTGTCGACAAGTAACAGGTGTAGTATTAGGAAAATATAAACCTCTTCGCACTCATATGATCCTGATACCGAATGGGCAAACTTTTTAATCGAATGAAAGCTTTGAAATAATTCTGACAGAGCTAGAAAAAGACCTCTTCGTATATTATGTTCTCCTATTAGCACGACACCTTTTGCATAAGTTTGTCGACAAGTAACAGGTGTAGTATTAGGAAAATAAACACCTCTTCGCACTCATATGATCCTAATACAGAATTGGCAATTTTTTAAATCGAATAAAAGCTTTGAAATAATTCTGACAGAGCTAGAAAAAGACCTCTTCGTATATTATGTTCTCCTAGTAGCACGACACCTTTTGCATAAGTTTTTAGACAAGTAACAGGTGTAGTATTAGGAAAGGAAACACCTCCTCGCACTCATATGATCCTGATACAGAATTGGCAAATTTTTAATTCGAATGAAAGCTTTGAAATAATTCTGACAGAGCTAGAAAAAGACCTCTTCGTATATTATGTTCTCCTAGTAGCACGACACCTTTTGCATAAGTTTTGTCGAAAAGTAACAGGTGTAGTATTAAGAAAAGAAACACCTCCTCGCACTCATATGATCCTGATACAGAATTGACAAATTTTTAAAACAAATGAAAGCTTTGAAATAATTCTGACAGAGCTAGAAAAAGACCTCTTCGTATATTATGTTCTCCTAGTAGCACGACACCTTTTGCATAGTTTTGTCGAAAGGTAACAGGTGTAGTATTAAGAAAAGAAACCTCCTCGCACTCATATGATCCTGATACAGAATTGGCAAATTTTTAAATCGAATGAAAGCTTTGAAATAATTCTGACAGAGCTAGAAAAAGACCTCTTCGTATATTATGTTCTCCTAGTAGCACGACACCTTTTGCATAAGTTTGTCGACAAGTAACAGGTGTAGTATTAGGAAAAGAAACACCTCCTCGCACTCATATGATCCTGATACAGAATTGGCAAATTTTTAAATCGAATGAAAGCTTTGAAATAATTCTGACAAGAGCTAGAAAAAGACCTCTTCGTATATTATGTTCTCCTAGTAGCACGACACCTTTTGCATAAGTTTGTCGACAAGTAACAGGTGTAGTATTAGGTAAAGAAACACCTCCTCGCACTCATATGATCCTGATACAGAATTGGCAAATTTTTAAATCGAATTAAAGCTTTGAAATATTTTTAAACGATTTATCAAATAGGGACAATAATTACGCGACGGGAAAACGAAAAATACCAATGGGGTCGATCGCAAACTTAGGCCCAGCTATTTATAAACAAAATGTTGTTGCGCAATATTAACAATCTGTATCTATCTGTAAAGACAGATGCGTGCGTGGGGCCCCTTGTTGCACATGCGGTTTCCTGCCGATGATTTTTAGATAAGGGCGCAACGTTTGAACTTTGATGAGCTTAACGATTTGCTTTATACACTCATTAAAATTTAATAAAACGGTCCCATTTATTGTACAAGGACCGTTCGCTCAACTGATGGTGTATGACGAACCGCCAGAAGAAGTTTCTTCTCCCTCTCGACGAATCGTAAATAAACGGCGAAGCACAAATTCCCTTTTATCCCGTAACGATAGCAGCACACGTTTAAATAGTTAGCAGATTG